ACACTGCTTTTAAAAAGCAAAAAGATTATTGTGTACTGCACACATTCTCTTGTCTCCAGACTTCTCCAAACCTTTTTCATTACAGGTTGATGCTTGCGAGTCTGGGGTTGGGGCAGTACTATTACAAAACGAGAATTTAGGAGTTGCAGCTGTAGCATTCTTTTCCCCCCAATTTCAGCCACATCAGAGGGCTTACTCTACCATTGAAAAAGAAGCCCTCGCGTTGGTACTGGCTTTGGAGTATTTCGATGTTTGTGGGCCAGACATCGCAGGTGGTCAGTCTACAGTGATCACAATCCTCTAGTATATCTCCAAGCCATGAAGAACCACAACACAAGGCTCATGCGCTGGACGCTAAGACTGCAACCATACTCACTCAGAATTAAATATATTGCCGGCAAAGAAAATATGTTGGCAGACTCTAGATAAAGAGTCTAATATTTTTATTTATTTAGGTTAGGATGTTATTTGTGGTAACCCCTTTTCACGCTTTTTTTTTTTTCCCCTGGTGTGGGTTTTTTTTTTTTTTTTTTTTTTTTTTTTTTTTTTTTAGTGAGGGGATGCGGGCTACCGTCCGCCTGTATCTTGGACCTATGCTAGCCTGTCTGACTGCTGTCTCTAAGTTTAGGGTTTGGCTTTTGGTCACGAGAAAAGCTGAGCCTCTAAGAGTTGGATGGGGAAGAGCAAAGGCGGTCCCATTATTTTGTGCCATGGCGGCCGGTTACCACGGGAGGTGGCAGCCTAATCCTGAGCCTTCTCGGGGTGGGGGTGTGGATGCAAGTACGTAACCTTTATTCGGCGCATGTAAACACCTCATTTACAGGCTATCTCCCCAAACCAGCGAACCAGGTTGCTAAGAGTTGTGATGGGGCCCCGTCGTTCAACTTAGTTTACCAGGTTCTAGCCAATAAGAAGATGGTTTTGGCAATCACAGAGGTTATGTGGGTACCGCTCTCCTGTCTGCCCTTGTCATTCCCATTCTAGAGCTGGTTGAAGCACGGTCTGCTACCTTGTGGCTTCTATTTCTGCCTTGCTTACCGTGGAGTGCACTATACTTATCACTGTACATAGTGTACATATTGCTGTTCTAAATTGGTGAAGGATAAAAACAAGTCTAAACTTTTTCTGCTGTTTATTTTGCTCCCATTACACCCGGGATAACAGGCCATTTGGAATCCTGGGTTGTAATAGAGTACAACTAGGCCTATATAGGGAAAATCATTGATTTTGATGATGTGATAGATGATTTTGTAGGATTGAATTCAAGGAAATGTAAGAACAATTTCACTGAGATGTTACCTGTACTCAAGGTGAAATCGGAACTAATGTTTCTCTGATATTTCAATGTTTTCCTTTATTTTTATTTTTTAATTGTTGAAGATGAATAAATGTAGGATCTGTTGCCTGTACTCAGACTGGTTTTTGAGTTTGTTTCCTCAGTATTACTAAGATTATTTTATCATTAATAAAGTTGAAGTATTCTTTTGTTAGGTTTATGACCCTTAAACGTTCTCTTTGCTAAACATTAGTCACTGGTCATGCAGTAGTGACATAACTGGAGTTTACTTCCCCATCCCCCCGCCCTTGGATTTCATGGGGGTGACATCAAAGATGCTGCCCCTGGTGACATCAACCCTAACAACGCCACTGGATCCGTCCCTCCCAGTTTCCTGGAAAAACCTCGCTCCCTACTCAGGAAGGAGCGGAGATTTCTTCTTTAGTCTTGCTTAGGGAACCACCCCTCCCTGGGGAGGGGAGGAAAGGAGCCTAGCTCCCTGCCCCTGTGATATACGGTGAGGAGTGGAGATATTTTCGGCCAGTGGAGTGTTTTGTTTTAGCTTGGGAATAGGAGTGCTGATCCAGCTTATATAATACAGAAGATTGATGAGTAAGACACATGTGCAACAGTTGGACATCTTTACTGTTGAAACACTGCAACAGCACAGGGTACAGGCTGAAGGGAACAGACGTGATGTGCCAACAATGAAGATTCCCAAATGTAGCAGATGTCTTACTCATGAACTTACCGATATTTTAAACAGTTTTCAACATTATTACAGAAGCCTGATATTACGGCCATATGCTATATTCTGAGATTCTTTACGTGGTCTGGTAGTGTCATTCCTACTCTGTAAACCTTTGGATTTTCTGAGTCTGTCTAACGTTTGCTAAATGGACCCAAGTCTCTACCAGAGACATTTTATAAAGGGTTTTTTGGTTTGGTTAAAGTCCCGAGATGAAAAAAAAACACGTGTACAAATTTGGGGTATCTTTATTGCTACATAGTGGCTTCGTCAGTAAGATACTGAGAAAATATATTGTGGGCCCTGCAGTATAAATAATTAGAACCATGTGCAACTTTGTATTTTTATTGGGAAACGTTTCGCCCCGTGGTTTCATCAGCCATAGTAGGAGAAACTTGAACAGGAAAGAATGAGGTAATACCCCCTAAAATTGAATGATTCAAGTTGAGGAAACTGAACACATCGCTCAAGGTTGAGGGACTGATTACCCCATTTTTCTCCTGTTCTTCAAGTTTTTCCTACGATGACTGATGAAGCCCCTGTGTGGCGAAACGTTTCCTCAATAAAGATACCCAAGAGTTGCACTGTGTTATTTATCACAGTCGGTTCTCTGAACCTTCATTACAAAGCAGCAGTATAAGGGGTTAAAGATGTAGTCGTCCGTTTAACCCTGAGAAAGTTTGAGGGGGGTCAGTCCCTCATTATTATTTAAAGGGGAAAGGTAAAGCTGTAGGATTATACAATGCTTGTGGGGGGGGGGGTGGGAAGGCATTTAGGCTAAATTCGGGAACTTTAAAAAAGAGTTTAATTCCCTAGTCAAAAGCCCCCCACTAGCGTCAAAAAATTTTTTCGAAAGGGGGGCAGTCCCCCAGACTAGAAAAGTTCAGCTCCTGATCTGGAATGATGTGAAACCGAAACCTGGAAAGGGGTCGTAAATATGTCAAAAGGAGAAACGTGGGGATCTTGAAGACTGGATTTTAATACTAATACATCGTTTTATGTTAATGATGTTCACTGTAGTTGTGTTGACAGTAGTGGTGGTGCTAATGATGCTAATAGTAGTGGTAATGATGTTAACAGTAGTGATAATGAAGTTTACAGTAATGATGTTATTGGTGTTAACAGTAGTAGTGGTAATAATGATGTTAACAGTAGTGGTGTTAATGATGCTAACAGTAGTGATGTTAATAATGTTTACAGTAGTGATGTTAATAAGGTTAACATCATTACCATTACTGTGGCAGATGCAGTTTAATATAGACAAATGTAAAGTTTTAAATGTTGGACAGGCAAAAAACCATGGCACATATAAACTAAATAATGCAGATCTTAATATTACGGATTGCGAAAAGGATTTAGGAGTTCTGGTTAGTAGTAATCTAAAACCAAGACAACAGTGTTTAGTGTTCGCAATAAAGCTAACAGAATCCTTGGCTTCATAGCAAGAAGTATAAATAATAGAAGTCCTCAGGTTGTTCTTCAACTCTATATATCCTTGGTTAGGCCTCATTTAGATTATGCTGCGCAGTTCTGGTCACCGTATTACAGAATAGACATAAATGCACTGGAAAACTTACAAAGGAGGATGACAAAGATGGTCCCATGTATCAGAAATCTTCCCTATGAGGATAGACTGAGGGCCCTGAATCTGCACTCTCAATAAAGGCTTAGAATTAGGGAGGATGTGATTGAGGTGTATAAATGGAAAACAGAAATTAATTAAGGGAACGTAAATAGCGTGCTAAAAATATCTAACAGACAGGACGCACAGCAATGGTTTTAAATTGGAAAAATTCAGATTCAGGAAGGATATAGGAAAGCACTGGTTTGGTAATAGAGTTGTGGATGAGTGGAACAAACTCCCGAGTACCGTCATATAAGGTAAGACGTTGTGTAGTTTTAAAAATAGGTTGGATAAATACATGAGTGAGTGTGGGTGGGTGTGAGTTGGACCTAACTATCTTGTGCTACTAGGTCAGATGATGTGCTCCTCTTTTAAGTGATGTGTCTGACCTCACTAGGTCAGTGAGGTCAGAAGGTCAGAGAGCTTAAGCTGCATGGGCCAGTAGGCCTGTTTCAGTGTTCCTTCTTTCTTATGTTCTTTGTTAATGATGCTAACAGCAGTGTTGTTAATGATGCTAACAGCAGTGTTGTTAATGATGCTAACACCAGTGTTGTTAATGATGCTACACACAGTGTTGTTAATGATGCTAACACCAGTGTTGTTAATGATGCTAACACCAGTGTTGTTAATGATGCTAACACCAGTGTTGTTAATGATGCTAACAGCAGTGTTGTTAATGATGCTAACACAGTGTTGTTAATGATGCTAACACCAGTGTTGTTAATGATGCTAACACCAGTGTTGTTAATGATGCTAACACCAGTGTTGTTAATGATGCTAACACCAGTGTTGTTAATGATGCTAACAGCTGTGTTGTTAATTAATGGTGCTAACATAATTTTAACAACATTTATTATAATGGTGCAAAGGATAGAGATGTTAAAGACACAGTAGTGGTGGTAATGGTGCTCACAATAGTGATAGTAGGGCTAATAAAAGTAGTGTAGATAACGGTATTTAAAGTAGTAATGACAATGAGAGTAACAATATTGGGTAATGTAAGTAACAGCAGTGGTGATATGAGACATAATAGTAGTGCTTGCAATATTAGTGCCAATAGTAGGTGTGATTGTTGGTAACAGTAGTGGATGTAATGATAACAGTAACAGTGAAAATAATTGTATACAGTAGTGGCGGTATTAGAGGTAACAGAAGTGGTAATAATAGGAGTAACAGTATTGATGTCATGATTGTTAGAGTAGTGGGGATAATATTAGTAAAGGTATTGGTAGGTAAGTGGTAACAGTAGTGGTGATAATAGTGATAACAGTAGTGGTAATAGTAATGGTGGTAATACTATGTAAGGTAACATCTATCTATATGGTAATAAACAGCTGGCCAATATTACTCACCCAGAGTTTCCTGCTCCACGATCATCAGTGGATTGTTACCAAAGAACTCACTAAGCTCGTTGTGGTAACGGTAGTCCAGCACGAACAGTACAGCACCCAAGATCATGCAAAGGATCCCTGCATGGTAAAGACACAGATGCATTGAGATCGTGAATATTACTTTAGTTGTTGTTGTGGATGTCGTTAATGTTGTTGTTATTAGTTATTTTTATTATTTTTTTTATTTATTATCACACTGGCCGATTCCCAACAAGGCAGGGTGGCCCGAAAAAGAAAAACTTTCACCATCATTCACTCCATCACTGTCTTGCCAGAAGGGTGCTTTACACTACAGTTTTTAAACTGCAACATTAACACCCCTCCTTCAGAGTGCAGGCACTGTACTTCCCATCTCCAGGACTCAAGTCCGGCCTGCCGGTTTCCCTGAATCCCTTCATAAATGTTACTTTGCTCACACACCAACAGCACGTCAAGTATTAAAAACCATTTGTCTCCATTCACTCCTATAAAAACATGCTCACGCATCCCTGCTAAAAGTCCAAGCCCCCCGCACAAAATAACCTCATTTACTCCCTCCATCCAACCATTCCTAGGCCGACCCCTACCCCGCCTTCCTTCCACTACAGACTGATACACTCTTGAAGTCACTCTGTTCCGCCCATTCTCTCTACATGTCCGAACCACCTAAAACAACCCTTCCTCAGTCTCTGGACAACAGTTTTGGTAATCCCGCACCTCTCCTAATTTCCAAACTACGAATTCTCTGCATTATATTCCACCACACTTGCCATCAGGCATGACATCTCCACTGCCTCCAGCCTTCCCTCGCTGCTCAACATTCATCCCCCCATGCCTCACACCCATTGTGAGAGCGTTGGTTAAAACTATTACTCTCATACATTCCCTTCTTTGCCTCAAGGACAAAGTCTTTGTCTCCACAGACTCCTAAGTGCACCACTCACCCTTTTCCCTCCTCAATTCTATGATTCACCTCATCTTTCATAGACCCATCCGCTGACACATCCACTCCCAAATATCTGAATACATTCACCTCCTCCATACTCTCTCCCTCCAATCTGTTATCCAATCTTTCATCACCTAATCTTTTTGTTATCCTCGTAACCTTACTTTTTCCCTGTATTCACTTTTAATTTTCTTCTTTTGCACACCCTACCAAATTCATCCACCAATCTCTGCAACTTCTCTTCAGAATCTCTCAAGAGCACAGTGTCACACTTTATGTGTGATTCTTTATCTTTTAACTCCACGCCTCTTGCCAAGACCCTCGCATTTACTTCTCTTACAACCCCATCTATAAATATATTAAACAACCACGGTGACATCACACATCCTTGTCTAAGGCCTATTTTTACTGGGAAATAGTTTCCCTCTTTCCTACATACTCTAACTTGAGCCTCACTATCCTCGTAAAAACTCTTCACTGCTTTCAGTAACCTACCTCCTACACCATACACCTGCAACATCTGCCACATTGCCCTCCCATCCACCCTGTCATACGCCTTTTCCAAATCCATAAATGCCACAAAGACCTCTTTAGCCTTATCTAAATACTGTTCACTTATATGTTTCACTGTAAACACCTGGTCCACACACCCCCTACCTTTCCTAAAGCCTCCTTATTGTTATAAATATATGACGTGCTTAGTTCGTGTCCATTTCTTAGCACAAAGTTTGGTGGTTATTCGTTTCTCACGACTAAAATTAAAGTTTTGAGTGAATTAGAGAATCCATTTTTGTTTGCTAATACATGTATTAATATTCATACATACAACTATACATACATAAGGCTATTTGAATACACTATAATAGCAGGTAATCTGACTTAGGATTTAGATCTGATGAGAAGAGATAAACATTAGTCAAGTTCTAATAACACTGTATGCTTAACCCCTCAAGGAAGGTTCCTTGATGTTGGTGAGGGGCTCTTGATTTAGGGAATTGGATCTGTGCTCTAGTTCCCCGAATTAAGCCTGAATGCCTTCCACATCCCCCCCCAGGCGCTGTATAATCCTCCATGTTTAGCGCTTCCCCCTTGACAATAATAATAATAATTAACAGTTAGGGCCAATTAATCTGGCGTCTGGTTGTGTGGCTAAAGTACTGTGTACTTTGCTGCTGAGTTCTGCTGTGGACTGAGACATAATGTTTGTAAATAACACTATGTACCACTAAGTATGGTACATAATGTTATGTTATTTGTGGTTTCATAGTGTTATGTTATTTGTGTAGTTTTTGAAGTAACGTCAAGATTCAAGCGGTCACAGCCACCCCATTCATTACATCCAGATTTATTCTGTATTTGCAAATTGCTTGTTGAAAGCATTCTTAAAGAAATGTAGTATTTTTACATTTACAACTTAGGTATGCAGAAGGCTTCAGTATTCTGAATTAAAACAAATCTTGTAGATGAATGGTTCACAGAACCGACATGTTGATAAATTAGACACATGTGCAACTCTTGGGTATCTTTATTAAGGAAACGTTTCGCCACACAGTGGCTTCATCAGTCCATACACAGGAGAAGGTTGAAGAATAGGAGGAGAATGAGGTAATCAGTCCCTCAACCTTGAGTCGATATGGTCAGTCCATCAATCTTGAGTGGAATACGGCATATGAGCGGAGAAGGAGCTTATAAACCGTAGGTAGGAGAGTTGCACATGTGTCTAATTTATCAAAACAAATCTTAAAATTGTGTTGCTACTCAAGGCTCTCATCTTCAAGCAATTGTTTCACAATAGTACATCATATTACGCTTTAAAATTATTCTCTTTCTTGAACTGGATCGAATTTGTTTATCGCTCTAGAATCACTTCTTTGAAAGGGAAATTATATGATGCAGATGCCTCTGGAAAGAGAATCTAAAATACTGAAGTGAAAATATCAGTTCTCTCCCTGAAAACGTCTAAATATTTCTTAGCCAACGACCTTAGGCTTATTTTATTAAAAAAATGTGCATTCAGTATACGAAAATAATGAACTTCTTCGACTCTTTTGAATCCTGGAACCAAATTATTTTACTCTTTTGTTTAGGATCTTTACCCAAGGGTCCAGTTATTTTTTTCATTCTACTAGGACAAAGTTGTATGGATGACTCATGTTCCCATACTTCTTACTTTATCTGCTCCCCTGTTATAAGCTCTGCTTATAACGTGGCTCGGTTGACTTATCATACTGGCTCTTAGTCAGCATGATAAGTCTACCGAGCCACGTTCCTTTTAGACGAGAGTCTTGGCCCTTATGAAGCAAGCATTGTTAGATAATATGCAGAAGGCATGATTTATGACTAAGATTAGGTTAGTACGCTTGAAAAACAACCATTTGAATGTATAATGCACATTAATTACCTCGGAGAATAATGCTTCAATATACATGATTCTATTAGACCTTGTATTGATGGTGATATTGATTTTGATGACGTTACATATGTGTCCTGAGGTTATTTACCGGATGTCACAATTTTCACTTAAAATTTAATTCTTCACAATTCATACCGGCTGGTACAGTGGAACCTCTGGTTACGAACGCTTTCAAACACGAACAAATCGGTTCACGACCAAAAAATTTGCCAGATTTTTGCATCTGGTCACGAACAAACACAGACCCGCCAGTGGCGTTATTTTTTTTTTTCACGCGCCAATTTCTTCCACTTCCTGTAATTGCAACTGTGATCAATTCGGATTAGCAATGTTTTATCAGTAGGTAGTGTACAAACAGCTTCTTGCAGTGCCAGTATCCTGCTATGGCTTGCCATATATGACTTTTGGAAAATATTCTTTTCTCATTTGTTAGTTGGGCTGTCTTATTGTAACTTGGTCAATGTATGATTGAAAGATGCTTCTTACCGTACTGCAAAAATGAAAGAAATCGGATGATAAATAACGGAGTTCACTTCTCAGCTATTAGACGCCCATTGAAACTTAGGACTCGTGCAGTGTTAGTTTTCTCTGTTGTTCAAGGTTTTCTCAGTGTTATTCAAGGCTTTTACATTTAGCTTACTATTACACTGTGCATTCTTTGGTATAAATAACTATTTTTGTGCTTAAAAATCTCAAAAAAAAAAAAAAAAATATTTACATACAGTTCGTAGGGGTATGGAACGGATTAATCGTATTTACATACAATCCAATGGGGAAATTCAGTTCGGGTCACGACCAAATCGGGTCGCGACCACAGTTTTGGAACCAATTATAGTCGTAACCAGAAGTTCCACTGTATCATGTCTCACTAGAATTAAAGTCAACCAAGTTTTCTTGGGATGTGTCTGTTATGTGTGCTGGTTTTTCACAATAAGCATTTAAGTATTGTTGTTTATATCAAGCTACAACCATATATTAACGCAAGTAAGACCATCCTGTTACAGTTTAAGCAGCGTTTCCTGTTCGTGAATGATCTTACAGAATTAAAGGCTTCACTATGTAGTCTTATTCCTAAGCCTGAAGCGCATGTATACAGATTACTGCAGAGTAAATGTTGTAATGGTAGAATTTCCTACAATATGTTAGGTAGAAGTACACATTTGCAACGAAGGTGCCATTTTTATTGTGGCAATGTTCCGCTCTCCAGGAGCTTTTTCAAGGCATGATAAATATCCTGGAGAGCGAAACGTTGCCATAATAAAATGTCACATTAATTGCTCATGTAGCCAAAATTAACTTATGTATCAGAAATTTAGTATGGAAAATAATTATGTAAATTCTAATTGCAAAAGCTCCTCTGTGACTCTCTTAAAATTTAATTTTCTTATTGACATCCTTAAAATTTAATTTAGTTTAAAATTCAAAGTTTGTGTCAAGGTAGCGCGGTGCAAGAGACATTGAAACTAGTTATTTGTGTTCACTGTAGATTAGTTTGTTTCCGCATGTTGCCAGTATCATACCCGTACGTCAGGTAGATGTCAGGTAGATGCCCCTCTGTATGGAGTCTAATGCCCCTCCATCAAGAGTCTAATGTTCCTTCTTCAGGAGTCTCTTGACCATCAATCAGGAGTAAGACCTCATTAGAAAAGCACTCTGTAGGATCTCTAGGCGCTAGACTGAGTAATTTTTCTGGCTATGTTCTGTAACGTGAGGGTCTACCTGCTGTTTCCAGTAGGAACA